CTCGGCAATGGGTCACAACAGAGGCAATGAGAGCAGAACAAACAAAAAAAAATCCAAGCAGTTATAAAAAGCTCAAAGAAAAGAACAACAACAACATGCTTTTCTCATTGTGTAAGGTGTGTAAGCTTCATGCATGACAAAGAACATTGTGGCCCACACAACATGCACTGACATGCACAAGTAGGAGGTATCTTATGTCCACAACACAGAAGTTTGAATATTTCATGTTTTATTCACCAAGTTAATCATTTGTATTTTCTCTAACTGTAATCAAACAATGAACATGTTAAACAATCAGGAGTAAAAGGATGATTTTAGTCCATTACAGGACCGGCTAAAAGCATCACCAATAGATGTTTAATATTCCTTTAAATTTGACTCTCTGCACATGTGACAGCATTTCATTAAAGTCATTTTGAATCTGAAGTCAGTTTTAGACTCATTTTTCTCACAAAAGCGTTGTGTCTTTTAATAATAATGTATGCGATCTATAATTATAATTACAGGCAACATCAGTGGTCCCACTTATGGTCTGGGGTTTGTCATAGTTTCCATCAATGATTTCTGCTAAAAATGCTAAAAAGCATTTACAAATATTGTTTCATTTCCTTTTTTGCTGAGTTTATATATGTTTCCTTCAAATAATTAACGTGTCTTTTGTACAGTAAAAATATTTCCCAAAGTAGGGCAGTGGGTGGAGTTTTATATGCACTGAGGCTGAATATCTTGAATGAAATAACTGCTTGTTTTAATGTATCTATTTGATAAACTTAGTACTTTTTTCATTTTTACATTTCAGTCAGACAAAAAAAGTTTTTTTTTACTCAAGTTAAAGCTCCTAATGTATATAAATGAACTATTTTACAATCATGTCAATTTTGTTTACACAACACAAGTTAAACTCTTCCTATTATCTATAAAAGGACCTCACCGGGACATGACCTTGATGTCTTCAGCAGTAGTTGGTCCTGTGTAAAGACACAGCGTCTCTGTATTCCATCCTGCTTCCTTTCCTTACTTTATGTTGGCCTGAAAGTACAAAAAACTAAACAAAAACCAAAAGAAAACAACTAGATCCTGAACATAGTGGAATCAGCCTCTTTAATATCGTCCAGGTACATATATGACCTCCGTTTCCTCGGTGAAAAAAGTATCCTAAATACTTTAACAAAAGCTTACATTAATGCCACTAATAAACTCAACAAAACACTGAAAACTTTCCTTTTCTTTCTTGTTAGTCAATCGGAATCCAAAAATGTGGTCATGTCCCCCTCTGTCATGTATATGCCCTGTGAACAGAGCTCAGGTATAAGGCTGGGAGCAGACCAGGTGATGGATAGCAGCAGGGCTTGTTGTCCTCTGCTTTACATGACTCTCATTAAGCTGTAAATCTTTCACAACAACACCCACTGAGACAATGCCACACAGGCTTCTCCTTGCTGCTCCACCTTGCCCTGGGCGTAACAATGAAACTGAATCACTTTGTCA